GCCCCTAGTAGCGTTCTTGTTACTACTAGTAAGGCACTTGTTACTAGAAGCGATGCACTTGTTACTAGTAGCGTCCTTCCTCCTAGTAGCGATGCCAGGAGCCCCTAGTAGTGTTCTTGTTACTAGTAAGGCACTTGTTACTAGAAGCGATGCACTTGCTACTAGTGGCGTCCTTCCTCCTAGTAGCGATGCCAGGAGCCCCTAGTAGCGTTCTTGTTACTAGTAAGGCACTTGTTACTAGAAGCGCTGCACTTGTTACTAGTAGCGTCCTTCCTCCTAGTAGCGATGCCAGGAGCCCCTAGTAGCGTTCTTGTTACTACTAGTAAGGCACTTGTTACTAGAAGCGATGCACTTGTTACTAGTAGCTTCTTGTTACTAGTAGTAAGGCCAGGAACCCCTAGTAGCGTCCTTCCTACTAGTAGTAATGCCAGGAGCTTCTGATAGCGTCTTGTTGCTAGTAGCGATGGCCTTGACCTGATGCTGTTCTCTGAGGCGTTGAGGTGTTGCCATGCCGATACCCTGACATGATTCGTGTTGTCACGCTGATATGATTGCGTAGTGTCACACTGACTTGTTGTCAGGGTGGGTTCTGGAGCATGTTTTTGCTTTTAGTAGCATTGTCGTACTTGCACCTTCATGATATGTGCTATGCCGACGTATTGCTGTGTTGGCATGCACGCGTGGCACATTGAAAAGGTTCGCAATTTTCAAGACAGCACTGTCTGGCAAAGACCGGGCACTTGGGCACTTGTTGGTGCACGTGCGATGGTGCCATTGCCTAGTTGGCAGATTTTGATGCCCAGCCGGTGGGGGTTCTTCTTGGTTTTGATTAACACCATTTGTTCAACATGGAACAATGTCGAGCGCCTGCAGTTCCCCCAACTCCTTGGGAATGTGCACAAATTGGCCGTCATCTAAGTCATCCCGTCTCCGAACTCGTCGTGTGAGATCCAAGAAGACGGCCTGGCCCTGGTCATTGCAGCGCACCCAAGACTCCAGGCATCCCAGACTTTTTTTGAATCCGAAGCCAACCAGGACCTTCAAGAGCACCTTAGGCACTGAAGGCACTGAGGAATACCTAGGACCTTAGGCTCTAGGACACATACAAGCATGCAAAAAAAACCGCCTGCTGCTTTACAGAATCTGAAAGTTCTTCAAGAAAACAAGTTCAAAGCACCTGGTCACCATGGACCATGTGGGCTCAAGTACATTCAAATAGATATTGACGGTGCAGCAACATGGAAAAAAACTGGTTGCAACATGGTAAAGGTACCAGTTTGCATTCTGCTTTTGGTGGACAAACCATACCAATATGACCACCATACCTTTTGCATGTTGAAGCATCCGACCAAGGCGGTGAACAGCCCCCCCTTAAAGGTTGCCAACAGGATGCAGTTTCATCGCTCGCATTGTGGCTCAGGCAGGCCTTGGGGGCGCATGGTGAGGCTGATGGGGCTGTTCGCACAATCTCTAATACAACGCAAGTGACCTAACAGCGATGGCCTCCAACCTAATAGCGATGGCCTCTATTATAGTAGCGATGGCCTCTAACGTAGTAGTGAAAGGCCTCCAACCTAACAGCGATGGCCTCCAATTAACCTAATAGCGATGGCCTCTACCCTACTAGCGATGGCCTCCAACCTAACAGCGATGGCCTCTACCCTACTAGCGATGGCCTCTAACGTAGTAGTGAAAGGCCTCCAACCTAACAGCGATGGCCTCCAATTAACCTAATAGCGATGGCCTCTACCCCAGCGATGTTCTCCAACCTAATAGCCATAGCGATGGCCTCTAACCTAAGAGCGATGGACTCCAACCTAAGAGCGATGGCCTCCAACCTAGTAGGGCCGAAAGGAAAAGGTTGAGAAATGTTAAGTTCCAATGGTAAGTTTCCGAAAATTCTAGGAACCAAATTATCAGTGCGAGCGCTTCTTCAAGGAAGTGCGAGCTATCCTGCATCCTATGTAGTAGCTACTTGAGCTACTAGCGACTCCCAAGCTACTACCTCTTCTACTAGCTAGCTACTACCTCTACGACCTAAAAAAAGGAGAGAATGTGGGCACGCGGCGCCAAGCCTTGGTGAAGTTGGTGAGGATGAGAAGGATGGAAATCGTTGGACACGTTAAACCTCAGATCGTCTCTCGACCGAAAGCGCTATGTCACATCGCTATGTTGATATATACAACTACGTTGATATATGCAAGTGAAAAATAGAACACACTTTAAGGGCCTCAAAGCTGCCTCAATGGAAGAGTAACACAAATATGGAAAGAACACATGGAAAAAGGAAAAGTCCGAAGGTCCAAAGTGAAAAGGAAAGAATATACAAAGAACAGTACAAAGAGAAAAGAACAAGTAAAAAGTCTAGAATTTCTGGAATTGGAGGCCATCGCTACTAGGGTGGAGGCCATCGCTATTAGAAACAAAGAAAAAAAGAAAAGGAAGAAAAGGTCTGCTGTAGTTTGCTATTAGGTTGGAGGCATTGCTATTGAATAGGAATAAAAGTCTACAATTTCCGCAATGTGTGCAACGCTTGGAAGGGCTTCTCATTCCGGAAATCACCCACCGAGGCTGCCTAGGCACGCATCCCTGCTCGATGAGATTCTTGGTCGGACCCACAGATGCGTTGACGCTGCGGCGACACCAAACATGTCAAAATTTAGGAAGTCAGCTGAAGTTGAAATTATGTTTTCTTCCGTCCTAGGAGTAAGGACGCTACTAGGGGCTCCTGGCCTTACTGCCAGGAACAAGAAGCTACTAGGGGCTCCTGGCATCGCTACTAGGAGCAAAGGACATCGCTACAAGGAGATTCAAGAAAATCACGGGGTCATGGGTCCGGCTGACCATCATTTCTGCATGGCACAAAAGTGTTCTTCAAATAGACCAGGGTGCAAATCGAGTTGTGATCCCTCAAAACCAAAAAAGCAAGTCCAAGTTCAAGCTCAAACTGAGTTCCACTGTAGATAGACCAAGGACAATTTCGGGCTGTTCCAACCATTGTCCCAATGAGCCTCAACAGGATCAAAGGGATCAGGAGCACCAAATGACGACAGGAACCTCCTCAAATGTGTAAAAGTGTGAAGGAACTTCCCAGAGCCTCTTCAAGCCACGACCACTCCATAACAAGAAGCTACTAGGAACAAGTGCCACGCTAGTAGTAACAGGTGCCTTACTATATAGTAGTAACAAGACGCTACTAGTAACGTTTCTCTCATCTCTCGACATGCTTGACAAAACACCACTCAACAATGACGGCCAACGAAATGTACCGACAGCACCTTTTTGCTTTGGGCATCGCGCCAGTGGTCGAAGCACCACTGTCATTAGAACATTCGAGATGTTATTCAACCAGACATGCCGTGCTGGCACCTTAGGATAACAAAGGCACTGGACATGCCTGAAAAGCATCTTCAGCTGCAACGTTGCCCCAAAACTCCCCACATGTTGCTATTCTCAAATCAAAGTTCATCTGCTTGGTAAACATCTTCTGCTTGGCGCAAAAAGTTGGCGCCGGGTTTGCGATTGCCTCTGGAAACACTTTTGGTATGACTCCACCGCTCCAAGTACAAATGTTTGTAAGATTCCGGTGTCACAAACATCGTTAAAATGACACTTGGGCGTGCCAAGCAGTACAGAATCGTGACATGGGCAGGCCTTCACCTGCTTCGACAGGCCGAAGACGAAGGACCAAAAATGGCTGAAAACGTGCAAAATGTTTGAAAAATGGTTGAAACTAAAAATGCTTTGAGGTTCAAGGCCAACTGCTTCTCAGTTGCACATGGTCGAAGCCCGAGAATCAGATCATGCACGGTCGCAAGAGCGATTTTTTTATTCGGACTTCAACGGTCAAACTGCTCCACTTCGCTATCCGAACGCAAAGTCTAGAACGTTTGAAAAGCAAAAGGAGGTGCAAAACGGAAAGAGTTGCGCAAGTCTAGCAACTTTTTGGATAATTTTTCGCTATCCAAATGCAGTTTGGAGCGAAGTTGATGCAACACAACACGGGAAGTCGATCCAGTTGATCCAGCGATGGCTTGTTGCGCAGTCAAAAGAGGAGTAGGGCATTCGAAGAGGCCTGCCGATGTTAAAAACATTTGCTATATATTTGTGCAAGGGCCGCAAGGAGCTACGCTTTAAGCTTCTGTGTGTCTTGAGTTAAGGGGCTATGCAGCAATGCATATATCAAGGGACAAGAAAGATGATGCAAATCATGCCCTCCAGACACTTGGGCAATTCCCCGTTTCCTCACCATCTTGAAAATTGGAAACCAGCTTTGCTCATCACATCTCCACAGGACTAACGCTGCAGTGTCACACGCCACAAACTGAAACCCCGACGCCGGAGTTTGAGCGCACAAGCTGGTAGCGAGGCTCACGACGGGGGCGCCTGTCGAAGGTTCACCCCATGTGTTCAAAAGCCGTGAACTAGCAAGGACGCCACTAGGAGCTCCTGGCCTTACTGCTAGGAACAAGAAGCTACCAGGGACTCCTGACATCGCTACTAGGAGCAAGGACGCTACTAGGTTGCAGAACATCGCTAGTAGGTTGGAGGCCAACAAGCTTGCGCCGACTGTGTGGGTGTTCGGCCCAGGTACATGCGATATACCTTGGGATTCTCTTCATTTGGGCCATCAAGTCATGCCGAAAGTTCCTTAGTCCACCCAGCCTTCAGCTCATCTGAACTAACTTGAATCTTCAAGGTCATGCTGAATGCTTGGAGTCACTTAAAGAGAGTTCAAATTTGGACATCACTCAGTTAAAATCAACAAGGCATCCGCAAAGGGAGGGCGCTTAAAAACGGAATTTCACTGACGATTTCTCCTTTGCACACACTTTTTAGACAATACTTTGTACAGCACAATGCAGCCACAGATGGGATGCACAATTCGCTTCTGCTCCGCAGTGTCACGGGTCTGTCGTGTCTGCATGGGGTCGCTTGGCCAGCTCCCCGAGTTTTCGCCATGACAAGGCTAAGGGCGCGGCCCGGCGCGGCTAGCCAAAGTTAACGTCAAGAAAACGGCATGGTGAGACAAAAGGTCCGAACCAATGAGGCAGCATGTCTAGCATGTCCGAAGCCTCAAACACGTCGGCGTCAGAAATACAACTACAAATCCTCCAGCCAGAGCACT